TTTTATTACACAAAACAATTACTCCTTGATTTTGTTAAATGCAGATCTGGTAACTTTCCCTCTCTATATTTCCAACTAGCCCTGAGATTCTGATTTAGTAGATCTGGGGATGAGCCTGAATATCGGCATTTCTTAATAATTACAACAGATGATTCTGATGTAAGTGTTCTTGGGGCTCATTCTGAAAAAAATGAGCTTATTGTCCATCCATTTCTTGGATCATAGTGAGTCAGCTCCTTGAGAAGCCTTGAAGGCGTGGCATGGATAAGATTCATAAAGCTGAAGGGAGAGCTGTGTCTAATGCCTGCCTTGCCAGGACAGCCTCACATGGCTCTGACAAGTTCCCTGGACCCTCCACTTCCTCTGGGACGAGAGCGTGTAATTCAAAATGTGGAGCATAAACCATTTCAGGGAAATTAAGATGGAAAGCAATGCCCAGGACACTAAGGATTGGCTAAAATATTTTCTCCCTCACCCCCTGTCCTCTTCATTTGCAGAAGAAAGTATGAAATTGGCTATGAAACAAGAAGAAAATGTGAACAACACAATACAGAAAGTGAAAGATGAAGTACACCCTGTCCAAAAGGTGGCGAAAGCCAAGACAAGTGACACGGAGAAGCACAAATCCCCAAAGAAACTCTTCCCAAACTCGCAGCTTTTCAAGCAGTGGGGTGAGGATCTTCCTGAGGCCCAGCAGCAAGTGGCCCAGGATCTCTTCCAGAAGTTTGGTTACAACGCGTACCTCAGTAACCAGCTTCCACTCAATCGCACCATCCCTGACACGCGGCATTCCAGGTGGGGGGCTCTCAGGCACCTCGATTTGATTTGAGGATGAGCTTTGGGAGCCATGAAAGTCAAGGGATGGAATGAGAGTGGGGGGAGTGGGGAATTGGTAGGGAAGGGGTTCAGGCTGACTGAGCATGGTTCTTGTTTTTATTTTATTTTTATAATGGCAGCTCAAAGAAGATAGCCAGCCAATCCCATATTTACAGCCTCTTGGAGATGACCAGAGATGTCAGAGAAACAGAGATCCTTGAGAATGCTGATAGGATGGGTCTAACTAACAGTGTTACAGGTGGAGAAACTGAAGCCGAGGAAGGCCTTGTGCGGGTCGCACCGAAGTCAGCAGCTCTGCCTCCCCCCTAGAATTTCCCTCACATTCTCTGCTTGGATTCCTCTTTGTCCTTAAGTCTAATTTGAGGAGCCGTCCCTCTGTTGTCCCTTCTTTTCCCTCTCCCATTATTTTCCTCTTTCTACCTCTCCCATCCTCCTTCATACATTTTTTTGGGAAACAGCTTTGCTGAGATATAATTCACATAGTGTATAATTCATCCATTTAAAGTGTGTAGTTCCATGGTTTATAGCATATTCACAGTCATGCGCCATCCCCACACTTTATTTTAAAATATTTTCATCACTTCAAGAAGAAGCCTCAAACCAAGTAGCACCCACTCCCCACTTCCCCACACCTTCCTCATCCCCAGGCAGCCACTCATCTACTCTCTGTCCCTATTAATTTGTCCATTCTGGACCTTTCCTATAAGTGGAATAATATAATATGGGGTCTTCAGTGGCTGGCTTTTTTTTTCTTATTGTAATGTTTCCAAGTGCCATCCATGTATTAATTCTTCATTCCTTTTTATTTCCAAATAACATTCCATTGAATGGATATAGTGGAATAATATAATATGGGGTCTTCAGTGGCTGGCTTTTTTTTTCTTATTGTAATGTTTCCAAGTGTCATCCATGTATTAATTCTTCATTCCTTTTTATTTCCAAATAACATTCCATTGAATGGATATACCACATCTTGTTTATCCATTAGGTGATGGACATTTGGATTGTTTTCACTTTTTGACTACTATAAATAATGCTTCTATGACCATTCATGTACAGGCTTGTGTGTGGACAAATGTGTTCATTTTTTTGTGGGTGTACCCTAGGAGTAGAATTGCTAGGCCACATGATAACTATAGATTTAGCCTTTTAAGAAAGTACCAGACTGTTTTCCAAAGTGACTGCATCATTTTCTATTCCTTCCAGCAGTGTATGAGAGTCCTGAGTTTTCCACATACTCACCAAAATTTATTATTTGTCTTTTTGATTATAGCCATCCTAATAGGTATGAAGTGGTATCTCATGATTTTGATTTAAAATTTCCCTGAGGACTAATGATGTTGAATGACTTTTCATGCACTCATTGCCCATTCGTATATCTTCTTTGGAGAAATGTCTACTTAGAGATCTGCTTTTTAAAATTGGTTTGTCTTTACATTATTGAATTGCAAGAGTTCTTTATATATTCTAGATATAGATTCCTCTCAGAGATATGATTTTCAAATGTTTAATCCCATTGTGTAGGTTGTCTATTCACTTTCTTGATGGTCTTCTTTGAAACACAAGAGTTTTAAATTTTGATGGTGTCCAATTTATCTGTTTTATCTTTGATTGCTTGTGCTTTTGGTGTCATATCTAAGAGACCATTGCTTAATGCAGAGTCATGAAAGTTTATGCCTATGTTTTCTTCTAAGAGTTTTATGGTTTTAATCTTAAATTTAGATCTTTTGTGGATTTAAAATTTTTTTGTACATGGTGTGACGTAGGGATCCAACTTTATTCTTTTGCATGTGGCTATCCAGTTGTCCTATCACCTTTCATTGAAGAGTCTACTCTTTCCACTTTGTACTGTCTTGGCAATTTTGTTGAATTCAACTGGTAATAAATGTAAGGATTTATTTCTGGATATCCATCCTATTCCATTGATCTACAGGTCTATTCTTATTCCAGTAACACATTGTTTTGATATCTGTATTTTTGTAGTAAGTTTCAAATGTGAGACACGCAAGTCTTCCAACGTTCTTCTTCATTTTCAAGATTGGACCTTGAATTTCCATGTTAGTTTTAGGATTAGTTTGTCAATTTCTTCAAAGAAACCAGCAGGCTTTTGATAAAGATTTCATTGAGTCTGTAGATCAATTTGTGAAGTATTGCATTTTAACAATTAAGTCTTCCAGTCCACAAACCTGGGAGATCTTTCTATTTATTTAGGTCTTCTTTTCTTTCGACAATGTTTTGAGTTTTCAGAGTACAAGTTTTTCACTTTACTTAAATTTATTCCTTAGTATTGTCTTTTTGACATTATTGGAAGTGATTTTTTTTTTTAAATTGACAAATGAAATTGTATGTATCTATCATGTACAACATGATGTTTTGAAATATATGTACATTTTGGAATGGCTAAATTTAGCTCATGAACACATGCATTACCTCACATCATTTTTGTGGTGAGAACATGTAAAATTAGTCTCTTAGCATTTTTCAAGAATACTATACATTTAAAAAAATTCTTTTGATTGAAACATATTGATTGTACATATTTATGGGGTTCAATGTTTGAATTTCAATACGTATATGCAATGTGTTGATCTATTCAGGGTAATTAGCCTATTCATCATTGCAAAACTTAATCACTTCTTTGCAATGTGCACATTTGATCTCCTCTATTCTAGTTGTCTTAATGTGGGTTTGATTTGCATTTCCCTGATGATTAGAAGACATAACAATCATAAATATATATGCAACCAACATCAGAGCAGCCAGATTTATAAAGCAAACACTATTAGACCTAAAGAATGAGATAGACACTAATACCCAAATAGCAGGGGACCTGAACACCCCACTCTCATTATTGGACAGATCATCTACACAAAAATCAATGGAGAAACAGAAGATCTAAACAGCACTTTAGACCAATTGGACTTGGCAGATACCTACAGAACACCTCATTTACATTTCCTGATGATTAGTGATGTTGAACATTTTTTCATGTACCTATTGGACATTTGTATGTCTTCTTTTGAGAAATGTCTTTTGAACTCCCTTGCCCATTTTTTAGTTGGATTATTTATTTTTTTTACTATTGAGTTGTTTGAGTTTCCTGTATATTCTGACAATTAGTCCCTTATTGGTACATAGTTTGCAAGTATTTTCTCCCATTCTGCAGGTTGCCTTTTCATTCTGTCGATTATCTCCTTTGCTGTACACAAGCTTTTCAGTTTGATGTAATTCCATTTGTTTATTTATTTATTTTTTAAATTACATATATTTAATGTAATTTTATTTTATTTATTTATTTTTTATTTTAATTTATCAATATACAATGTAGTTGATTTTGTGTCACTTTACCAATTCCTCCTTTTCCTCCCTCCCTCCCCCCTCTTCCCCCCTCCATCGTCATCATATCTGTGATTGTTGTGTCTTCTACCCCTGCCATTTATTTGTTTGCATATTTATTTACTTTAGCTCCCACAAATAAGTGAGAACATGCAGTAATTCTCTTTCTGTGCCTGACTTATTTCACTTAATATAGCTTTCTCTAAGTCCGTTCATGTTGCTCCGAATGGTAGTATTTCACTTTTTTTAAAAGATGCAGACTGACTGATTGGATTAAAAAGATGGGCTCAACAATATGCTGCCTTCAAGAGACTCACCTCACCTGTAAAGACACACATAGACTAAGAGTGAAAGGATGGAAAAAGATATACCATGCAAATAGAAATGAAAAAAGAGCTGGAGTAGCTATTCTTATATCAGATAAAATAGTCTTTAAACCAAAAACCATAGAAAGAGATAAAGAAGGCCACTAAATAATGATAAAAGATACCATCTTGATACAGGTGGTGCTCAGTTTCCCTGGGTTTAGTTTTCAGGACACGTCTCTGGGTTTCTAGCCACTCCTGAGGTCTCAGCCCCCCTCCTCTGAGCTCTCCCCTGGAGGAAAGTTACTCTTCCATTTAGACCTATTTTTAGCACTAACATAGGGAAAGTGAGACCTCAAGGGGCTGGCTTATGCAAATCCAGTGGCTGGGCATGCTCAGTAGAGAGCATTCTTGAATATGCTTGGTGCATGTGATAGGGTCTGACCAGTGAACATGCTCCAGGAAGGGACTGACTGAGCATGTGCAAGACTAAATGTTACATAACTGGGAGCCACCCCCTTAACCAAATATTTATAAGATAGAGAAACTATAAAAGCTGAATCCCAGCTGAAGGCAGGGTTGTTGCTCGCTCTCCTGGAGGCCACCTGCACTTTGCTGGCTGAGGTGTATATACTTTATTTTGTATCAAACTTCCTTTCAGCAAGCAGCTGCTCTTCTCTTGAGCCAGCCTGCACTTTGTACTGAACTTTGTGTTTTTCTTTCTTTTGTGTTAAACTTGATCTCTGTCCTGAACTTACTTTTGTGTTAAATTTGGTATGGGCTCTGCTCACTCTCTGGAGCTATGCCTCACTCTCTCTGTGGAAACTGTATTTCTTGCCTGTTATATTAAACTTATTCTCACTTTCTACCATGACTCTGCCCTTGAATTCTTTCCTGCGGCGGAGTCAAGAAGCTGGTAAGAGGACGGGTGGTTGAGGCCAACTATTGGGCCCCCGAACCCTGCCTCTGACACCAACCTCACCCCAGTTTGACTGGCTATTAAAAAGACAGAAATAAGCAACACTGGCAAGGATGTGGAGAAAGGGTACACTTTCTACATTGTTGGTGGGATTATAAATTAGTACAGCTGTTATGGAAAACAGTATGGAGGTTTCTCAAACAACTACAGACAGAACTGCCATATGACTCAGCAATCCTGTTACTGGGTATATACCCAAAGGAATGGGAAGCATCACGTCAAAGGGACATCTGTACCCCCATATTCATCACAGCTCTGTTTCCAAAAGATATGGAACCAATTTAAATATCCATTGACAAATGACTGGATGAAGAAAATGTGGTACATATACATAATGG